AAAGAGTCTCAGCATGTTGACCCCTTCAAGGAAAAGCAAAGGGATTCCAAATGAAGTAACTTTTTCACTCTGCAGTAACTTCATTCCTGTTTATTCCTCCCTTCTGTTTGCTGGATCTTTAAAAAGAAAGTGATGGGTCAACTGGGGGTAGAAACATGTTGCTCATAAGCTAAGGTCATCCGAGGGAAAACAAGTCAGCCTCAGTACATTTATGAGCACCACTGGTTTTAAAAAAGCACATGATCGGGAAACATGCAGCTTCAGAATGAAATATTCCTATTTATCCTTTTAGCTACACAAAAAGTCCATTGCAGGGCCCATTCACACGACACAGTTAGTGCTCTATCCTGTTTTAGAATTTGTTCAGAGAGAGGTTGCCTTTGCCTTCCTCTGAGGCTGAGAGAGTGTGACTTGCTCACGATCACTGGAGATTTGTTTTTAACCCTTTAAGACCAATGAATAGGATCTGATAGCGGATTGTGCTCAGCGGTTTAATAATAATAATAATAATAATAATAATAATTTATTTTTACCCTGTCCCTCTGTTAAATACAATCAGGGCGGCTTACAGCAATAAAATGTATTATTTAAGGATGCAATGCTGGGTGGACTCTGGTTTGGTATTTCCCAAAGAAGGAAATAAACCAATTTTTTAGAAAATTCCTGCAAGAAAAGGTTTGACAGTACGCACAATCTCACCAATAAGGAGCAATCACTTATATATTCCGAACTCTTTCTCTAAATATATATATGCACGCGCATGTGTGTAGTTATATATAATATATAAAATAGTTATGCCTGTCCCTGATTTTTGCTGTAGCTATCTCAAATTATTTGTGATTTGTAATTTTTAAGTATGTTTTTATATTTTGTTTTTTAATTGTATTTTAGGTGAGGTGGGCTATTGGTGGGTGGGATTGTTTGCTTTATCTTATAAGCCGCCTTTGTTTCTGCAGTGTGTTTTGGACCTATAATCCTGTTTTTCATTCAGATCCCATGGAGTAACATTGTGAAACCTATGTATCTAAAAACATTCCTGTTTTGCCAATGATATTGAAACATCCTGATATGGTTTGGAAGTATCTACTTGCATTACAAGATATTTAATGCAAGCTCTGGAAACCCTAGGGAACCTAATTATCTTCCTTGTCCTGCCATTTGCAGGTGAAGACTTATTTATTCCAACCGACTTTGGGGAACAAATTCTGATAGTGTTCAAACCTT